TCGGGAGGCAGAGGCAGGTGGATCTCTGTGAGTTCAAGGCCAGTGTGGTCTACATAGTGAGTTCCAGGACAGCCGAGGCTACAGGGAGACCCTGTCTGAAAAAAACCAAAAAAAAAAAAAATTTTTTTTTAATTTTATGTGTTTGAGTGTCTTGTCTGCGTGTATGTAAGCGCACCTGTGTCATGCAATCCCCACAGAGGTCAGAAGAGAGCATCAAATCCCCTCAACCTGCAGTTACAGACAGTTGTTAGCTGCCATATGGGTGCTGGGAACTGAATCCAAGTCCTCTGCAAGAGCAGCCAGTGCTCTAAACTGCTAAACTAAACTGCTAAACTATCTCTCCAGCCGTTAAGACTGAAATTTGTAAACCTTGATATCAGATTAGACATCTGTTCTTTAGTTTTCTTTCCTACCTTGTTTTTTGTTTAGTAGTTTTCAAGATAGGAAGTTATAAAAAAGATTGCAGTACTATAGTTGGGAACTACCTTGAGTTTGTAGTTCTTGAAGCACTTTGCAGATGTTGCTATGTTTCAATAAATTTAAAGATTCTTTGAATTCACTGTGCCATCTCAGAGACTCCACATAGTTTAGGAAACTCAAATAGTGATCTTCAACTAAATCTTGCCTGTTTATTGGAAATAATATGTAAACTGTTTCCTAGAAATACTGCATGACTGTTGAGCAGCAGACCAGAAGAGCACCAAAGTAGAAAAGAATGACAGTGTAAGGTTGAATTTATGTGACTGCATCTATAAGGTAGCGATTTGGCACTGAATACTTTTTTTAAAGGTAGAGAAGAAGTAGAAAAGTATTCATAAGAAAACCCGTTACATCAGACCTACTTTTAGTGCACATGAGCAGTATGTGCTCTTTATTAATTTGGGAGAAGAGGGGAGGGAGAAGAGATAGGGACAGAGGAAATGAATGGATAGAGAGAAGACAGATTTTCTACCAAAAGGCAATTTAGAGTGACTGTTAATTAAATCTGCAAATACTTTTTTTTTTCGGTCTTTTTGAGACAGGGTCTCCCTGTAGCCCCAGCTGTCCTAGAACTCACTATGTAGACCAGGCTGGTCTTGAACTCACAGAGATCCGCCTGCCTCTTCCTCCGGGGTGCTGGGATTAAAGGTGAATGCCATCATGCCTGGCCTACAAAATATTTTAGAGCAATATTTACTCTCATGTTAGGCTGAATGAATGAGCACTTGCTGAGCCTACATGACATTAGCCATCAGTCCCAATCTACACTATGCCATGTATTTTGTCTTTAGTTTTATTATAGCTTCTAAGTGTCATAGGAAATTATTTGCGTCCCTTTGAAATTCTGCAGGTTGAGGTTGCAGCCTGTCTGGTGTTCTGAGAGGCAGAGTAGCAAATCATTCTGGCAAATTATAGAACACTGGCTGGTAATCATCCAACTGAAAAAAACTATAAGTAAAAATTGACAACTTTGAAAAATAACATGTACTTTTTCAGTGTGCCAGGAAGAATGGTGTAGATTGATTTGTTAAATGAAATTGCTAAAATAGCTCATTGGCTGTGTAACAGGTTTGGAATACATTTGTTTGAGTCTCATGATTAATTAGAGTCAGTTTCTGGTTTTGCTTAAATTGTTCCTCTCCAGATTGAGACTTGTCCTAATTCCAGTGTTCAGTTCTGTGGTTTGCTTTATTTGAACTTTAACTGTGACTCAGATTTTACCTTTAATAAGATAACATAAGCAACAGAATTTCAAACATTTTAAGATAGCTTCTCTTCTTTCAGATGGACCAGCTTTTAGGAAACATGATTGAGATGTGGGTTGATCGAATGGACAACATTACGCAGCCTGAAAGAAGAAAACTTTCAGCTTTGGCTTTGCTCTCTCTTCTGCCATCTGATAATAGGTGAGGAAATGGTTTCTTAAAGTTGGATTTATTTTAAACTATAACATCTTTTGGTGTTGTGGTGTATGCCTGTAATCCCAGCACTCTGGAGACTGAGACAGCCTAGAGTACATTGTATGACCCCGTTAGAAAATGGAGAAAGACACACACACACACACACACACACACACACACACACACACACACACACACACACACACACACACCCCAACAACAAAAAACAAAAAAGAACAAGCAAATAGTCTAATTATCCAGATATCTTTGAGTGCCCAGGAATCATGGCATGTTGCAATGGTACTGATTAGGTTTCCTAATTCGTGGCAGAATGGCTTCCTTTTTGAGCCATTCTACAGGTCTCCTATTTTTTTGTAGTTTGAATTTTAAGGACCTAAAAACAGCCTTGTAGACTGGATATTGTGTGAAAAGAATAATGACAGTATATTGGATCTTTACATTTTAGGGAATATTTAGAGAATGTATTACCTAGTAATAAATTAGTGACATTAGTCCAGTTTCAAAATCTGTATTTTTCCTTATATACTCTGGTATGTTTATTTAGGTAAAGAATACGTAATTATTTTGTTCTTGTATTGTAAGAGATAAAGTAATGGTATTGAGATTATTCAGAGATGGCTAGAAATGGCACAGGTTAAAGACTAAAAAGAAACCCAATTGTATCAGTAATATTTGTTGTGTATATTTCATGATAAAACCATTGGGAATGATATACATTATTTTGTATATGTCAACTGCCTTTAAAAAATCTATTTATTATTTTTATCATCATCTGTATTATGATATGTTACGGGTGTTGGCGGCAGGAATTGCTGGGAATATGTCGCTGCCCATATGTGGAGGTAAGAGGACAGCATTGTCTAGTCAATTCCTCTCCTTCCACCTGTAATGAATTCTGGGGATTGAATTCAGGTTGATGGGTTGTGTGGCAAGTGCCTTATCTGCTGAGTCGCCTCATTGGCCTGTCCTTTGCTGCGTTTTCTTGGCCAGTTTCTGAGCATAATGCAAGTTTTACAGTCTTCCTCCTCCCCTTTCTTTCTGGCAGTAGTGAAGTACAACCTCTTTTACTTTTTTTTAGCTGAAATAATTTTCAGATTCTAAATGTTTTTAGTTTCGATTTATCCACCCTTTTTTAAAAGCTTATATTATTTAGACAGAGGGTAGTACTTCAGCTAATTTTTGCATGAAAATATCTAGGCTTACTTACGTATACCTTCTTTTAATGATTTTAAAAGAATTTTTCTTAAAAGGCATATGTTAAACCAAAACTACTACTTGCAGGTTAGAATGATAGTAATTATTTGCCTTCTGCTGTTTAAAACAGATTCATCCCTTCAAAATGTTTTAAGAGTTTCACATATAAGTGCCCCTTGAAATTAACTACTTTAAGCATTTTGAATCTCCTTTTTAAGATTCAAGTGTACCACCAGTGGGAAATATAAGCCAGCTGAATAATTTAAAAAGAATCAGCAAACAGCTGGCTATGTACAAATGAGGTCTCACTTTCTTGGAAAAATGCCTTGTAATAAAAGTTTGTGGTGATCAGATTTACTAAGTCTGCTTAGATTGGACATGTTTCCCCCTATAATTCTCATTTATTGCAAAAATAGCCTATATAATAGTAGTATTGGGAAATTTATTATTATTTAGTTTTCTAAGTCATAAGTATGCTTTTATACATTAAAAAAATTTTGTTGTCATTTTTTTATTTGTATTTGTATTGATGTCTGGCTCTATAGCCCTCCCCTTGCAAACCTAAAACTCACTCTGTAGACCAAGCTAACATTCATCTTACAGTGATCCTCCTGCTTCTGCCTCTTGTTTGCTGGGACTGCAAGTGTGCACCACCATGCTCAGACATTTGATCATTTTTAAAGCATTAGACTAGTAGTAGGTTCCAAAAAATAACATTTTTGATGTATAGTTAAGTGAAAGTTTACAGTTACTGAACCACAAACACCATTTTACTTGAATTACAATTAGCTTAATATGATCATTGCTAAGTGAATATTTCGAATATGTATGCTTTTATTTGAATCTTTAAAAAAACTTGCACTTGATTTGTTTCTTTTAACAGTTATAATAAGCTAAAGATATACGACCATGTTCATGTAAGAATTTAAATGTGCTTGAGCATATTCCTTCCTGTATTAGTTACTTTGTTATTGTGATAAAATACAATGACAAAGGCAACTTACTGAAGAAAAGGTTTATTTTAGCTTATGGTTCCAGAGGGAGAGTCCATATTGGTGAGGAAGGGAATCATGGTGTCAAAAGCAGGAAGCTGAGATTCATTGGCACACAGGAAGCAGAGAGCAGGCAGGAAGTAGCGCAGGCTATAATCTTTCAGTGACTTTCTCCACAGCCTCCCCAAACTGTGCCACCAACTGGGACCAAGTGTTGAAATACCTGGGCCTATGGGGGCATTTCTCATTTAATATACCATGCTCTTTTCATCTTTTAAAGAAAATGAGTCTTTTATGAGATTCTTTTCCATACATCCTTAAGACTAAGAATTTAATAGGTTTGTACAGTAAGAATTCTCAAGAAAAAAGTCTTAGAAACTTAAAAAAATGTATTCTAATTCATATTAACCCAATTAAAGGGCTGGGGGTGCGGACAGCACAATATGGTAGTTTTTTAAGAATGAATTTTATTTATTACTTTTATTTTATGTGTATGAGAGTATTGCTTGCATGTATGTAAGTGTACCCGTGTCATGCAGTGTCTGTGGAGGTCAGAAGAAGGCGTCAGATTCCCCTGGAACTGGAGTGATGGATAGTTGTTAGCTGCCATGTGGGTGCTAGGAATCGAACCCAGGTCCTTTGTAAGAGCAGTCAGTGCTCTTAACCACTTAGCCATCTGTTCTAGCCCCAAATTTGGTAGTTTTTTAGTGTATCCAGAATTGTGTAACTATTACCACAATACATTAGGAAATAGCTTACTTTTTAGCATTGTTCTTCATTTCCTCATTCTTTCTGGCAACCTGTCATTTACTTTCTGTTTGTAACCATTTACTAGTATCCTGACTGTTCATATGTGGTCTTTCAGGACCAGCTTCTTTGTCTCAGCATAATGTTTTCAAGATTCATTCATATTGTAACATGCATTATTAGTATTTTCTTTTTTATTGCAGAGTAATATTCTTTTAAAATTTTTTTTGTGAATTTCATACATGAGTATTGCTTTTCATTATTTCTATCCCTCCAGTTCCCCCTCCAACCTCCCCAAACACTCTCAACTTGTTGTCCTCTTTGATTATTATTGCCTTTATCCTAAAGCTCACATTAAAAGAGAGGAGACTAGCATCCAACTGTCCCCTTAAAGGCCATGCCCTGGTAGCCTAGGACGGTTCTTTTACATGGGTTGCCTCATTCTTGTAATTGCAGTTCTGAGTAGAAAAGAAAATAGCAGTAAAATGATTTCTCAGAATTCCCTATCAGTATCCGTGCAGCTCTTTGGGCATTTAAGTGCTTTTAAAAAAATAATTCGTTAATTAATTTCCACAGAAGGTGATGTTAGCTACGAACAGTGACTTTATGATTATGTCTATTAGCTGCTGTTTAAAATTAGATGGACTAGTATGAGGACTCATCTATCATCGCCCAACTTCAGCAATTATGAGACCTATTTTCCATCTTAACCCATCTACCTATCTAGTTATATTGTTGGAGGATCTAGCAGCTTTACTAGATCTAGGCTTCACTTTTGGGGGTAAGCAATCTCATACCTTTCCTCCTCCTTCCATCCTCTTTTTTTGTTTCTTCCTTTCTGACAAGATCTGGCTATGTAATCCAGAATGGCCTTGAATTCCTAATCTTCCTGTCTCAGAATGCTGGGATTTCAGGTGTGTACCACAATGCCCAACACCAGTATTAATTTAATATATTTTTAATTGAAAGTTTTATTGAATTTTTGTGATTTTCATACTATATAGTTCAATGGCATTTAGATCCTCTCCCTTATCCGCACTTCCCCTCTTTATATGTGTGTGTGTGTGTGTGTGTGTGTGTGTGTGTGTGTGTGTGTATACACACACACACGAATGTCTTTCAATATGGGTCCATCTACTGGGCCCACGAAGAATCCCATTCCTGTAAGACACTGTCTCTTCCCATTCCAGCAGTAAGGTGTGGTAGTAGTATACCCGTTATCCCAGCTCTGGGGAAGTGGAGACCATTTTTCAAGTATTGGCCACCTAGCCTAGCCAAATTAATGAGCTTCAGGTTCAATGAGAGACCGTGTCTCAAAAAGTAAGTTGGAGAGTGATAGAGGACACTGACATCAATCTCTGGCCTCCATATGTGCATGTACATGTATACATATGTGTATATGCATACATGCTTGTGCATACACACATAAATACAAATGTATGGATGATAGCTAGAGACTTCATACTTAGATTTTGAATACCTCAAGTTTTCAGGGATCTGGCTTTGAAAAGAACTCTGTTTTTAAGTTGTAGCTATTGAGAAAATATATTAGGCAAACTGAATGCATTCTGAAAAAATAAGTTCCTGAGATTTCCTTTCAACAATGCTTTTAAAGGACAGATAAACTTGCTTCCTGTCTCACTGTTTCCTGTATCCATGGCAACCCATTTTACACATTGACTGTAGAGGAACCAATGTGAAGAGTGGCGTTTCCTGAGCAAATTGTGGCTTTAAAACTAAAAAAAGGTGGAGGCCTGGAGGTCCAGAGTGGCCCAGAAAGAAATGGAGTGGAGAAATGCTGCTCTTCAGAGTTAAAATGAAAATCTGTACTTGAACAAGTCAGTGGTAACATGGTTGCCTGGTTCCTGGTAAGAGTATTTGAGTATAGGCTTTTAGCTGGAATGAAAAATAATTGAATTTTGTGAAAAACTGTAGTTTGACTTTTCTGTAGTGTATTTGTATTTTCATAAGCTGTTATTTGATACTAGACTTTGTTGATTCTGGGACATATATCCAAAAATTGTTATCTCTACACCATTTTTTGCATTTGTCCTAGGCAATTGTAATACTTTATCTCAGTAAACACTTCATAGGTTATTAAATTTGAATTATTGTTGCCAAAGAGTGGGCTTAACAGGCTGGAGGTATTAGCTGTTCTACTACACTGTGTTACACTGTCACCATGGTATGGTTTAAGATGTTATTGGCTGATCTTAGTTTAAATAGAATGCAGAAGTTTCAGTACTTTGAAACTTTCATTTTAAGAACTTTCTGATGATTTCAGATTTTGCCTTCTCTTTATAGCCAATTCTGATACGATCAGAAAACCAATAACAGCTACATATGGATTATGATTTTTGTCTGCCTTGCCTATGATTTTTACCTGATATTTTGTATTACTTCATAAAGAGATATTAGGATGTTTATCTTTTTGCTAACTCTTCACTGGGAGATCAACTGACTTTGGCCTTTCATACTACACTGATTGTTTGTCAGCTTTTTACTGGGAGACAAACTACTTTCGGCCTTTCACATGTTCCTAATAACTTTCTTGAAAGTACAGTTTTTCTGTATGTAAGTAGAGAATATCTCTCATCTAAGTGAAAGAGAATTACCACTACTTAATTTTATTGTAACATTGTATTTGAATAATTGTAGTATTGTGGATGAATATCCAAAGGCCTTTGTTCAGTTAGGCCATTTATATTTTTTGTCTCAACAATTTTATAAAATACTTATGGCCTGAAATATTGAAGGGACTATCACAGCTTCATAATATGTATTTACAGTTTAATCGGGTATCTTCTGTTCTGAGAGGAATTTTTAGCAATCTGGTCTCAGTTCAATATCCAAGTCTGTAGAGGAATTGCCTCACTGTGCTTGGGTACCTTTGTCTGTACAGCTGTTCCCAGATCCTTGATTTATTGAACAAAAAAATTTTGAGGAGATCAGACTCAGAATTTCTCCATCTTGGAGCCCTTTTATTTATATCTAGAAAAAGTACCATTAAATGTACTTTAAAATCCTGAGACTATCCTATCACCCTTTTGAAATACCCCTTTGCATTTAAAAGTCTTATCAAAGTAGAATATGTCCTAAAAAATGCAACAAATAAAAATGTTACTAGGTGTGGGTTTAGTGAAGTCATAATTATTTAGAAAATTAAGTTCTGATCCAATGAGCTTGTTAAACAATTTATCTTTATATAGAAACAGAGCATTGAAAATGATACATTTGAAAACATGGGAGCACTTTGAAGATCCTTAATTTGTCATCTAATAATCTTACAGAATTACATCCAAGGGTCCTTAAGCCATTATCTTCATTTGACTCATCTTCAGGCAGATTCTAATCTTGGGAATGCAAACTTTGGGGTCTTCAAGACTGGCTAGCCTCTTCAGCCGTTACTGTAAACATCTGTTATCAGAATCCCCCTTCCATGTGTGGCAGAGTGTTACGTTATATTAAATGGACTGACGTTACAAATTGCATTTCCCTTCGACAAATGTATCCAGAGCTTGGATGTAAATTTTCTTCATATTCATCACAAGACCACTGCACTAATGATGTCCTGGCATAAAATAACCACAGATGGGAAACATTTGGAAAACACTGAGACCAAGAGCTTTACCATCTGGGAAGGAATTCGTACTTCACCTGCCAGTAGATTTGTTCAAGAAAATACCCTTGGTAATCCATTAGAGACTACTACGGTTTTACCTGTAGAAATACAGCTTTCTACTTCTGTTAACTTGAACTTGGAGAAAAATGGTGCTCTTCAGATTGATGCTGCTTCTATGTCAGGAGAAACATCTCTAATTTGTATCCAAGAAGTTGAGAAGTTAAATGAGGCTTTTGACATTTTGTTAGCTTTTTTCATCTTAGCTTGTATTTTAATAATCTTTTTAATCTACAAACTTGTTCAGTTTAAGCAAAAACTAAAGACACCAGAAAACTCAGTTGAAAATAGACTTGAATATTATAGCTTTTATCAGTCAGCAAGGTATAATGTAAATACCTCAGTTTGTAACACCTCCCCAAATTCTTTGGAAAGTGCTTGTTTGGAACAGATCAGGCTTCATAAACAAATTGTTCCTGAAAATGAAGCACAGGTCATTCTCTTTGAACATTCTGCTTTGTAATTAAAGTAAATATTGGCTATTTTAAAAAAATCCTGTTGTGCCATGTGGACCTAAATAAAATTAAATCTTATAGGATTATATACTTTACTTGGAAACAATAAATTATATGATTTTAGGATTATTAAAATGTTTACTAGTCATTTGTAAAGTGTATTTATTCTGCAGATATTTATATTACTGTATCAAGATCAGTGGCCAACTATTTACACACCGAACATTATGCTAAATGCTTCACAAATCGTGTTTAATCCTAAAGTCTTGTAAGGTTGCACTGTTGATATTTTACACATAAGGAAACAGTTTAAGAGTTTCCAAAATTCTTATAATTGATGACATATTTTAAGTCTTTTTGACTTGAATTTAGGGTTTTAACTTTATGCTCTTGCTGTCTAGACACTAGGATCAAAATTGTGAGAAATTACATGAGGTTCTTAGTAAAGCTCGAAGAGTAGAAGAAGACACACGTTACTGTACAGCATGGTAAGTGAATCAAACCTGTGGTGGTGCACACCTGTAATCCAAGCACTCAGGAAGCAGAGGCAGGCAGATCTCTCTGAGTTGGAGGTCAGCCTGGTCTGTATAGTGAGTTCTAGGCCAATCAGGATTACATAGTGAGACCTTGCCTCAAACAAAAGAAAAACACTGTATCGTGAAAAACACAAATTAGCCCAGTGAAGAGAATGATCAGAAGGGTTAATAAGCAAGAAAGAATTCTGCTTTTCAGGATCTAAAATTCAATATAGTTGTTTGGGAAGTCGTGTGAGATTCAAAGCTAAAGAGAGGCATCAAATGATGAATGCTATTATAATTTCATGCTCTTTTTTTATCTTTTTCGTGCTTTTTTTAAAAAAAATATTTTTTTATTTTATGCTTATGAGTGTATTGCCTCCATGTGTGTAAGTCCACCCATGTTGTGCAATGCCTGTGGAAGTCAGAAGAGGGCATTGGAGTCCAATGGAACTGGAATTATGAGCGGTTGTTGGCTGCCATGTGGGTGCTGGTAATCTAACCCAGGTCCTCTACAAGAGCAGTCAGTGCACTTTACAGCAGAGCCATCTCTCCAGTCCCATAGTTTCATGATTTATTCTGAGGCAATAGAGAGCTGTTGAGGATTTTAAGCAGTGGAGAGACACTATCACATTTATACTGTAGGAAGGTCACTCTTTCTGGAAGGAACAGGATTAACTGCATAGTAATCTCAACCTTTAATCCAGGGGCTGGAGGCCTCCGCAGGGTAGTGGCCAGGGAGGATGGATGGATCAAAAGCTGATGTTCTGAAAGTAAAGACTTAACTTGGTGAATGATTGAGGGGTAGCAGGTGAAGGAGAAGTCAAAGATGCTAGGCTGTTTTCATAGGCAGCTTTGTGCTGCATTGATGGAGCCAAGGAATAAGAGGTGGATGGGGCAAGATAATTTAATTTTAGATAAATAGAATTTGAGATTCATGTATATGTAATATCTGCAAGCAGAAGTTCAGGACCCAAGATTTATCGGTACATTCAGTAATTTTTCACCTTTCATCATCTTAGAACATTGAAAATAAACACTCCTTAACAGAACCCATAAGCACTTAGGCTGCAATTTTTTGTTGTTGTTGTTAGTTTTACTCTAAAATTTATTTTAATTTTTAAATTTAAAATGGAACTTCAGAAGAAAGTGATTTTTTAAAATTATTTTTTAATAAATTTTTTTTTAAAAATGATTTATTTAATAACAACATACTTAGAAGAAGCATATCATTACAACACAGTTGACATATTCAATAACGTTTTCCTGAGGTAGGATGCATCTCTTTCAAATTTGGCTGTAAATTTTTAGGTTTACAGTTGAATTATTACAGTTATACAGTATTGTACTCAGTATAAACCCTATAAGACATAAAATTGAATGAGGTTTTAACCTTTAAAAAAGATCTCCATTTCATTATTAAAATATACTGTTTCACACACACAAAAAACTCATTTTTAATGCAACTAACATGTAGATGTTTGCACATGTGTCTCTAATCTCTATATATCTGATAATTACTAGTCATAGTCAGTTACTTTCTGAGATCCTTGGCACCTGAGGATGGCTCTAAAGTCATCAGATAGATTTCAGTGATAATGTTTTTCACATCTACTATTTAACATGAAGCAAATTTTTATGCTTTTTCCTCAAATATAACTCTTTTATTTATTGATTTGTTTCATGTGTATTTCATACAGAACATCCCAAACAATCTTACTCATCTATATACCCACATCCCAAGATCCCAAGTGACACCCTCCCATGTGCCCCCCACCCCTTGCTGGAGCCCATAAACTCTGTCATCCCTATTACTGTTCATTACTGTTCACTGTGTTGTCAGTGCCCCCAGCCGTTCCCCAGTGCTTATCCATCCACTGAATCTAGTCAGCCTATCTAGAGTTCCTTGTTTCAGGAAGATCAGCTCTTCCTCATCTAGCAGCAATCAGTTGCCAATATTCCTTTAGATAAGATTGGGGTCTGCTGTTCATTTTCCCAGTTCTATGCTGGGTTACTGTCTGGGAGTCTCTTGGGCCACCCTGGTCAACAACTCGAAGGAAGGTATCTCCTGTCTGGTATTGTTTCTTGTTATGTAGCCTTTAGCTATGTATATGGACTCTTAAAGAATTATACTGATTCCTTTAATCTTTGTTTATATTTTCATTTTGGGTGTTTAAGACCATACAGTTGGCCCAGATAAACCAATTTATTTTTACTCCTAAGGTCATTTGAGGATATGTTCCTTGGGTCACATGGGCTTGGGAGGAGCCCCTGGCTCCTTTCTTTTATGAGTTCCATCTATGTGAAGATAAGTCAAAGGTTCTGCTTTTCTGTGGCTGGCTCCACTTGGAAGCATAGAGGAAATGTTTCCTCTGTGTTGACACTCCTCTTTGTAGACTGGACACTGGTTCAAGTCCATCTGGTGGGGTCTCCATGGCCTCCTTGATCAAGAGGACAGGTGACTCCCCATAGTTACAGGACATTTTGAGAGATGCTCCGCAGACTCCTGGTACTTAGTCGACCTTGGAGGGTGAGGAGCAAAAGCTGTCTTTTATGTCCCTCTGACCAAATTGGTATAGGCCTCAAAGTATGTCTGTTAAACATCCAAGAAGGTTAGTTCCACCAGTCTGGTACTTTTAATTTTCATGTACTATGTCTATAAAGCTTGGGCAAAGACCAAAGGTTCTCAGATAAACCTTGACTAGACATATATTATGTTCTTTGAGCTAGTTATATGTATAATTTGTCAGTAGGTTGTTGGACTAATATGATTCCCTCTGGTTTTTGAAAACTAGTTAGGTATTATTTATCTCTTTCACTGTCTAACCCTTCCACATGGTTTCCCCATTTAAAGTGCCCCCATTTTTCCCATTTCTCCCTTAACAATCCCCTTCTCCTATGGTCCCACCTCTCTTCAGCTCCTTCTTTCCCTTTATCCCCAAGATTCCTTGTATAACCCTTCCTCCTCCTCCCATTTAAATAACCCTATTCTTATCCCTATCTCCCTTATCAACACCTGTTTCCTACTGTTCTTCTCTTTCAGATTCTTTCTTTTCCTTTACCTCCCTGATTCCTTTTCATTATCCTGGTTCCTGTAGTTATGTCTGGATACATACTCACTTATCAGGATTTGGTGCTAGGATCCACATATGAGGGAGAACATAGATGTCATTTTTTTCTGAGTCTGTGTTACTTAGTATAATAATTTCTAGTTCCATCCATTTACCTGTGAATTTCATGATTTCATCTTTCTTTACTGCTGAGTAAAACTCCATCATATAAATGAATCATGTTTTCATTATCCACTCGTCAGTTGAGGGACACCACCTAAGTTGCTTCCATCTCTTAGCTATTGTGAAAAGAGCAGAAACAAACATGAATGTACAAGTGTCTGTGCATTACGATTAGTTCTTTGGGTATGTGTCAAGGATTGGTGTAACTGGGTCAAGTAGTAGGTTCATTTTTAGTTTTTAAAGAGTTCTCCACACGGCTTTCCATCAGCAGTGGATAAGCATTCCCCTTTCCCCACGTCGTCTCTGACATTTGGTACCATTTGTTCTCTTGATCTTAGCCAGTCTGACTGGGGTAAGATGAAATCTTAAAGTGATTTTAATTTGCATTTCCCTAATTACTAATGATGTTGAACACATTTTAAGATGCTTCTTAGCCATCTTTAATTCTTCTTTTGAGAATTCTCTGTTCAGCTCCTTAGCCCATCTTTTAATTGGGTTACTTCTTGTCTTGACTCTGTTTTTTGAGTTCCTTCCTTATATATTCTGGATGTTAAACTTCTGACAGATTTGTTCTTGGTAAAGATTTTTCCTGTTCTGTGGGTTTGCTGTTCACTTCCTTGGGTGTTTCTTTTGATGTACAGAAGCTTTTTAGTTTAATGAGGTCCCATTTGTTGATTCTTGACCTTGTTTCCTGAGCAATTTATGTTCGGTTTGAAAATCCTTCCCTACACCTATATCATGTAGGTTATTGCCAATGTTTTCTTCTAATAGTTTGAGAGTTTCAGGCTTCACCTTAAGGTATTTGATCCTTTTGGAGTGACTTTTGTGCAAGGTGAAGGATAGGGGTTTGGTTTCATTCTTCTACAGGTGGAGATTCAATTTTGCCGGCACCATTTGCTGAACATAACGTCTTTCCTCCAGTGAATGTTCTTGGCCCCTTTGTCAAATATCAGGTGGATGAAATTTCAGGTACTCATATTTGGGTCTTCAATTTTGTTCCATTGATCTGTGTGTCCGTTTTTGTGCCAGTACCATGTTGTTTTTATGACTATAGCTCTGTAATATAGTTTAAAGTCTGGCATAGTAATCCCCCCGCATTTTTAGTGCTTAGAGATGCTTTGGCTATCCGAGGTCTTTTGTGCTTCCATATGAATCTTAGGTTGTTTTTTTTTTTTTTTTTTCCAATTCTGTGAAGAATGTCATGGGGAGATTTTGATTGGCATTGCATTGAATCTATAAATGGCTTTTGGTAGGATGGTCATTTTTACAATATTACTTCTTCCAATCCGTGCGCATGGG